AGGGGTTGGGAAGCCGACTTATGAAGTTCAGGGTTCAGGATTTAAGGTTTCGGCTTCAGGGCTTAATTAGGGCTTTGGGGCTTCAGGGTTAGTGTAGAGTTGAGGGCGTAGGTTCGGCGTCTAACGGGAGAAAGAAAACTCGCTGAGCCTCACCCTAAACTCCCTGAATCACAACAACGCTACCCTGAACCCTAACAACCTAAACCCTGAACCCCAAGCAGCCCCTATCCTAAACCCGAAACCTCAAAATCTAAACCCTAACCTTCCCCCCCCCCATCTAAGCCCCCCGGCCGCACCCAACAAACTCTAGACCCAGGAGCATAAAAAGGGTATCCTTTCTGGTTTTGCTAAGAGGGTTATAAGGGAACCACAACCCTAAAACAAGAAGACAAGGGCCTACTCCGGGTCCTAGAACTCTAAACCGATCTCGGTCCCAATCCTGCGCGGCGTTTCCTCTGCAACTGTAGTAGCAGGCTAGTTCGGCCCTGGCAATCTCGAAGCAGAATTTGGGAGTCAGGTACCCTAAAAGGAGTCTAGGCGCATGCTATGTCGCCTAAAACCCTAAACCCTAAACCCTAAAAAGGCCCTGCAAACTCTAAACCCTAAACCCTAAAAAGGCCCTGCAAACTCAACGGGAAGCCCTGAACCCTTAAACCCTACAGGCCTTCAACCCCCAGCCCTTAGGGCTTAGGGTTTAGGGTTTAGGGTTTAAATATTGGGGTTTGGGGTTAAAAAGCCCCTCACGGATAGAATCGCAAGGGAAGGGTATACGACACGCGTGATTCTTCGACTCCCCGCAGATTGCTTAGGGCGCTGGGCGCTTAGGGTTCAGGTTGTCGTACCCTTAACCCCTAAACCCTAAACCATGAACCCTAAACCCTAGACCCTAAATAGGGCCTAGGGATCAGGGCTTTGTGGTGGGCCTCAAAGGTGAGGGGCGGTCTCGCTTGGCAAGCGCCCCTCCCACTTGCCGCGGAAGCTAGCCAGCAATCGATGGGGGCTGCACTGGGAGGGAATGTAATTAAACCCTAAACCCTAAACCCTAAACCCTAAACCCTCAACCCTCAACCCTAAACCCTAAACCCTAAACCCTCAGCCTCAGGGTAATTGTATGGTCCTTTCATATGGTCCCTTACCTTGTTGAAAGGGATCTGAGGTATGGGCCCTTGGGCTTTATAGGATATATCTCGGGTAGCACTTAACCCTCCGAAATTCTGAGCTCTAAAGAAGCAGCGAAAGGTTAGGGAGGGTTCCGGCAACGGGTTTAACTAGGATTTGAGGTTTAGGGCTGGCTTCGGGCTTAATTGGGGTTTTGGGGTTCGGCTTAGTTGCAGGGTGAGAGGGGTCCCCCCAACCAACCTCCACTCAGGCTTCTAAAAGGCACTTGCCATGGAAAACGATATCTTCCGCGTCAGCCGAACCCACGTCTTGCCCAAACTCCATGCATCAAAGCGCGAACCGGAAAGGGTATAGGGTTTAGGGTGAAAGGTAGAGGGGGTAAGGAATTCCGCTGTGGGTCCCTAAAGCCGATGAACACCCCTAAACTGTAAGAAATATTCACCATACCCCTTTGGGCATACCCTGAAAAGAAAATAAGGGGTTTGGTAAAACCCTTCCTTCTATTCTCCCTTAGAGGATACGGATTTAGGGTTTAGGGTTTAAGGTTTAGGGTTTAGGGTTTAGGGTTTAGGGTTTAGGGCTTAGGGCTTAGGGTTTAGGGTTTAGGGTTTAGGGTTTAGGGTTTAGGGTTTAGGGTTTAGGGTTTAGGGTTTAGGGTTTAGGGTTTAGGGCTTAGGGTTTAGGGACTCCTAGTATAGACCACCCCAAATAGTAGGATTATCTTGTACTAAGGACCCCAAGAAGGTCCCCTAATTTCGGAAATATCTTTCATTGTCCCCACATTTGCCTTTAACGGGGATCTTTCTTCTCCCCAACAATGCCATGGGCACAGAATCAGGGGCACGCCATACATTCAAGCAGGCACTTTAGGGTTTAGGGTTTAGGGTTCAGGGTTTAGGGTTTAGGGTTTAAAGTTTAAGGCTTAGGGCTTAGGGCTTAGGGCTTAGGGCTTAGGGCTTAGGGCTTAGGGCTTGGGGTTTACTGTTTAAGCTCTAGTGTTTCTAGCGCTTACCGTGTTTGAGATTGTCAAACTGAGAGGGTCCTTGGCTGACAGCCCTAAGCTCCTAACCCCCTTAAACCACTAAACTTCTGGAACCCTAAACCCTCAATTAACCCTGCGAAAACTACAATCCCTTAAGTCACCCATAATAAGCCCTAAGCCCTATATAAACCCTGCACCTTAAAAAAAACTAAACCGTAAACCCGAAAAGCTGTGGGTCAGGTCTGATGCCGGAAGCTTGGTATTTCGCAAGCTGGGAATTCGCGGGGCTCGTGATTTGCACTTTCCACCCTCGTACCTGGCAGCTAAGACACTCGTCGGCGCGAAAAGAAAGGGCTTAGGGCTTAGACCTTAGGGCTTAGGGCTTAGGGCTTAGGGCTTAAGGCTTAGGGTTTAGGGCTTAGGGCTTAGGGCTTAGGGCTTAGGGCTTCGGGGTTAGGGCTTAAGGCTTCTGGTTTTGGGTTTAGGGTTTAGGGGTTTGCCATCAAGCACCATACAAATCTAGAGGGCTTCTCAGGCTTCTGGGCCCGAGACCCCAAACCCTAAACCGTAGCCATCCCTAAACCCTAAACCCTAAGCCTAAACCCTAGAAGTCTAGAGAGGGGGGGGGTGACCAACCGTAGACCCGAAGATGTCGCAAAACCCAAGTTGGATGCCGGAATCCCTGGCGGGGTTTAGGGTTTAAGGTTCAGGGCTTAGGGTTTTGGGTTTTGGGTTTTGGGGTTTGGGGTTTGGGGATGCCGGAATCCCAGCAGTGCTCTGTCAGAACTCGGCGGGTTCGCCGCCAGAGCCTGTCCGCCAGGGGTTGGTGAGGGTTGAGGGTTGAGGGTTGAGGGTTGAGGGTTGAGGGTTGAGGGTTGAGGGTTGAGGGTTGAGGGTTGAGGGTTGAGGGTTGAGGGTTGAGGGGTGAGGGTTGAGGGTTGAGGGTTGAGGGTTGAGGGTTGAGGGTTGAGGGTTGAGGGTTGAGGGTTGAGGGTTGAGGGTTGAGGGTTGAGGGTTGAGGGTTGTTGGGTTGAGGGTTGAGGGTTGAGGGTTGAGGGTTGAGGGTTGAGGGTTGAGGGTTGAGGGTTGAGGGTTGAGGGTTGAGGGTTGAGGGTTGAGGGTTGAGGGTTGAGGGTGTAGGGTGTAGGGTTGAGGGTTGAGGCTTGAGGGTTGAGGGTTGAGGGTTGAGGGTTGAGGGTTTAGGGTTGAGGGTTGAAGTCGGGTGTATTTCCCCTCATTCGCTTAATTCCTCCCCGACACGTGGCCTGCTCAAGTGGCCTAATGCTCTGCAGCAGGAACAGTGAAAGATATCGCCCCTGACTCTGCCAGAAGAAAATCGACCAAACTTTGTCCCTGACGTCACCTGATGTAAGGTTGCCAAAGGGTCATTGTGGAAAATTGGCCAGCGGTTTCGAAAAAAAATTTCACACATGATGTCTTCAAAATGCAGACATGCGCCAGTGAGGAAAAGGCAGTGTTGTGAGGGCTTCGGATACAAGGATCAGGATTTTAGGCGGCTTTTTAGGTCTATTAGGGCTTACAGTACGGGAGGTCCATTAGTGGCATGTATGTTTGCATAAAGAGCTGCTCTGTCAGTCGCTGTAGCCCGCACAAAGAAGATCTTGCACGGCTTCTTTTTTCAAACCACTTATGTGCGTCTCATCGTCATCGTGGCGAAGCCTCGGCACGGGGGTGTAGCAACAATCGCTCCGGTATTCCGATGCAGCCACCCAAAGATACTCGGTGCACATTTGAGTCATTTGAGTGGCTTCAAGAAGACTGCACAGCACCAAATTGCTCCGAACCCTGAACCCTTCAGTCCTCAAACTGTCTCAAGAAAAGAAAACCATTAAAAACTGTTTGCTCCTGAATCTATAATTTCCCAGGGGCCGCAACCCTAACCCTTAACTCTTAAACCTAACCCTAAACTGTAAGCACGAAGCCCCAAAAAGAAGATCGTTTCGCCTACGAGCTTCGCAAACACCGCATCTGATGCAGTTCGCCAGGTCGCCTGCCCAACAAACGAGATGGCAAGCCAGGAAGCCTCAAAAGCTTCGATGAGAGATGACAGACCCCGAGCAGTTTCAATGGCATCTTCAGCACTGCTGGCTCATGGCACGATGTTTGTATTCACGAGGGCAGACTTCGGGGCTCAGAACTCAAAGTTTAAGGCTTTAAGAGTCCCTTGTGAAAAAAAGGCTTTAAGGTCACACAAGGCTTCGCACCTAAGCCCCCACCAGATCCAGGACTCTGCAAACCCTCTCCCCACAAGACAAGCAAACATAGTATGCATTTGGGCTTGTTGGTATCGGGTGTTTAGGCTTGCCCCAGGGTCCTGGACAAATTGTGTTTCCGGGGAAATTCATCGACCAAAGTCCTAAACCCTAGCACCTACACCCCTTGGTTCAGCAAAGGCTGTGGGTCTACTGGCCATCGTCGCTGAGGTGCAGTCAACTGAAGCCCGATCACTGAAAATAAATCGCTGGCTTGGTTTGCCTGGCACCCAAGCCCTAAATACTAGGCACTAAATCGTTGCTCCCCAAAACCAAACCCATGACCGAATCCAGGAAACACGACCCGGCCACAATGTCAACAGCTTCCTGGAGCCCATACCTTGCCCACTGGGACTCGGGCCGCCTCCGAAGACCAAGACAAGCAAGCCGAAATCAAGCCTCTCAACAGGTTAGATAGAGGATAAGCTCAGATTGGCAAAGCAAAGCTCAATTTCGAGACTGGACATGGGGGACACACAGACTGATCACACGTCGGCAACAAAGGTCTATATTTTTCTTGCGACGGGCCCACCCATCACTGTTTCAAGCTTCAGCCAGGCTCCAGCCCAGCTTCGTCACACTGTAGCAGCCATCGAAAAGAGATCATTGGCGAGCCGTCCATGAAATCATTGTGTCCTCAACCTCTTGGTTGATGGGCCAGGATCCTCCGAGCCAGATTGTTTGGCTTCGTGCCACTCCCACAAGAATGCGAGGACCTCGGCCTTTGCCGAGAAGAAACTTCTAGTCACACGAGAATCCACATTTGAGATGGCCGTTTTTGGCCGAAATGCCCTGCTCGAGGACTTGTTCCCTTTCCAGCTCTGACCGGAAGGCAACCAGCCTTGCACATACGGCGATGCCGCCTGGGGACGTCTCAGATCAAGACGGCAGCCCGGGGGGACCACGTCTTCAGTCACATCCTCTTTGTCATCGAGCCCCCGATCCTTCTCATTCCATGGAGCTGCCGGCTGGAGCTTCGTAGTCGGCTCCTGCTGCTCCTCTCGCTCTGACACGGAAGCCATCCGGCTTTCCATAGTTTGCAATACCTTGGATAGCAATTTTGCTTCACACATCGTGTCTGCACCCGTCAAATCCAACTCATCGGCAGCATCATCGGCATCATCATTGGCATCCTCACAGTCGTCCTCAGTGTCGTCCTTCTTTTTCTTGCGGGCCTGGAAGGTGCTGAGGATGCGAAGTGTGACCTCTTTGTCATAAGCGAAATGATGAAGGAGCTTTTCGCAGCAAACCTTTCTGCTGCAGTTCCCAGCCACAACGATGTTTGAAGCTTGGCAAAGGCAACGAAGGCTGTGCGCGGAGAGTCCTTGGCACAAGAACCCAAGCATTTTCAGCCTTGCAAAACACCCAACCATTTTGTCAAAGCACAAAAAAACATAGATTATTTATGTCGCTAGGCAGCAAATCAAGCAAAACATGTTAGATTCCTATTTCCCAGCCGGCTTCGGCAAGCATAGTTCTCGAGGGCATAGTTCACCAGTGGAATGGGTGCTCCCAGCTTCAGCCTGAACTTGCCCTTGTTTCCCAGGTCGACGAAGATAGGAGTTGGAGGGAGCAGCTGCAAGTCATGAGCAGAGGACGGAAATATGTCCTGACACAGGCTGAATGATGAAGTGGACTTGGAGATCTCAAGCAACGAAACGAAAGAGGCCGAGATGTTCAGGGTTGAAAGTTGAGAGCGGATATGTTCGGGGTTGAAAGGGCACGAGCTGTCTGTCAACATGTTCAATTCAAGAGCCCCTGGACTCGGGTCCTTCATGCAAGGTACATCCGTGCAGATCTTAGCCACATCCACCATTTGGTTCTCGAGCTGCATCTTCTCCAGTTTCAATGGCCACACCCGGAGAAGAACATACGGGGCATCGATGACTAGGAAGGGCTGTTGTTGGAACAGCAACACCTGGCCAGAATAACTTTTCAAGTCCCAAACCCGAGCCCTGAAACCCGAACCCTGAACTGACCCGGATCCCGGACATCGCCCTTCATTCGTGACTCTAAGCAGGGCACCTGGCCAGGGCGAGCGAGGTCTGCAATCCAGCTGTTGCTCAAGCTTCCATTCCTCGCCTTGTAGGCCAGCCACAAGTTGATGCAGCGCCTGGTGAGATGGTGGGGCGAAACCGTGGTCTCTTTCAGCATCTGCGAAAAGCCAGATAAGCCAGTGTCGGATGCTGTTGCTCGTTTGGCTGTGAAGACTGAGGACTTCACTGTAGACTTCAAAGGAATGGTGTGCACCTCGCTCGGGTCCACATCGACCTTGTCGAAGTCTGAGTATCTTTCGTTCACACCCTTTATGCTGAGGGCCTGCAACTGGACCGGTGCAATCTCGCCCCCAGCATGCTGCCGCTCGCCTTTTCGAAGGTGTCTGAAGCTGTCTTCACAGCCCAAAGTGGAAGCCGGATCGGGCTGCCATGCCTGCACCAGTTGTCGAACATCATCGTCCATCTTGAATCGTCGTTCTTCGCAAAATGTCATAATTTCTCTGTAGCAAAACCATTTGGTCCATGGGACGTCCTTGAGTGGATAAGCCTGAGCGGCATTTTCGACAGATTCTTCCTGAGCCAGAAGGAACTTCCATTCCGACTCCATTTGCTTGAGGGTGTTGGCAACCACGTTCTCATCGTGGTCCAATAATAAGGCAAATCTCCAAGGGAACACTTGGTGGAGCAATCCGAACTCGAAGAATCGCTGAACAGTTGCGACGAGGTGCTTGAAATGCACGGAAAGTACTTCGGGCACCTGGGACGGGTCCAGTGTTCCAAGGATCTCCTTGATGTGATCCAGCCCGGATTGCATGGTGGACAGAATCAAGCCGGGCCACTGCAAGGAAACATACCGTCTCAGCGAGGCCGTGCCATTTCTTCGTTTGTCCAGCTTCACCTCCCAAAACCAGACGGCAGTGAACCGACACACGCATTAGATGAAACCCTGAACCCTTTCATTTAATTTTGAAATGCTTTCGGCCAAGCACCTCGGCTGCCTGGAAGGCACGAAAAGGCTGCAGAGCAAAGAATACGGCGTTAGCAATCGCCTTGCATCGTGGCTGCACAAGCACCTGGGGTGCAAACATGAGAGCACAGAACTCCGAGACAGCTTTCGGAAGCTACTTTTCAACTTCTCGCATTCTTGAAAACTCACAAGTTGCTCAACACACAGAGACAATCACAGCAAGCCTGGCCCCAACATTTAAATGGGCCCGAGAATGAGCTAACAACCGACGATGTCCCAGAACCCAGTGAGTCAATGTAGAGAGGTCGAGGAGCTCGGAGTACCTTCGGCTGCAAGGCAAGGTCATCTTCAGTGCCGAGTTTCTCGAAGCTGGTTGCTAGTGCGTGCATGGGATTCTTGCCTTCGAGGACCAGTGCAAAGAGGTGGAAGAAAAGGCGACTGTGCCATTCTTTCCGTAGCCGAGCGAAAGAGTCGACGAAATCGCACCACCGGCCTGACTTGTGCTCACTGCCGGTGCCCGACCGGCCCTTCTTGGCAAAGGAAATCAAAGCTGCCTTGGCATCCTGCAGCGAGGATGCCGGACTCATCTGCAGGTCGTCGAAAATGCCTGCCGAACACATCTGGATCAAGCAATGATCGTCCGGGATCTCAGTCACCAACTCCTTTGCTTCAGCAATGCGACGGCCAAAGCTTGATGACTTCCAGGGCGCCTTGTCGTACTTGCAGATGAGGGCAACCTGCTTTTTTATGATCGCGATCTCCGGCACGGCAGCAGCTGCTAAGACTTCCTCTCGGGCCAATTTGTGGGAAGTGTCTCGGTGGATGTGCACACTGAGGCCGCTCTGGGCCATAGACATGGCACCTGTGCAGTCGCCTTCATCTTGCAAGGTTGACATGCGAACCAAACTGTGGAAGTTGGCAAAGTCAGTCGACTGCCACTCGGAGGTTTTTGTGTTGGCATCCCAAAGGTAGCTCCGAACCAGCCCACCATCCTCGATCGTGATCCGTCTCTCGGATCGTGTCGCAGGTCTGAGTGCCCTGCTCGGCTGCAGATTCGAAAGATTGAAAGACATGAAGACGTTCAAGCTTTGATTCAAACCTAGCAGCTTCTGTCTTGTTGCAACCTTCTCCGACTGGCAAAGGTCTTTGGGCCCAGGAGCCTCCAAAGAGGCCTCCAGGCTCTCAAGCTTTTGCAGGTTGTCTTGCAGGGACGACTCCTGGGTCGTCTTGAGCTGGGGCGAAAGCGAGATCGGAGCACAAACGACCAATCCATCAGCCGAAAGATGCACTTCCAAGACCTCTTCATGTTTTCGTGCACTATGTCACTATGTCTGTCTGTAGAACAGAAACAGAGCTTGTAACCCCGAACCCTGAGCCCGGAATCTGAAGCCCAAACCGTCCCTGCCTGAACCCGAAACACTCAAGAAACCCACGGCCTCGTGAGTCCCCACTTTGCTGGCGTCCTCGTACCAAGCCATGTGCTTGTACTTTTGTAGAGACATCTTCTTCAGCAAAGCCTGTGAAGCGTTGACCATGTAGGCCGTCACGAATTGATCAGCTGCAACGGATCCCAGGTTTCGGCCCTTTGTGCCCTTTAGCTGGACAGGGCAGATCTCCTTGTTGCTGCTATTGCGCAGCCCCGAGATAAAACCACTGCCCCTACCGAGAAACCGTTTCAACAACTCTTGCCTCGCCAAGTTGGCATTCCGCACAGCTGAACCTGTACTCCAAGGGGTGCTTGCATCTCCCTCCTCCTGCGGACGAGGAGGAGTATCTCGGAGGTGGATGTTGCCAGACACGAAGCCCTTCTCCAGCTGCTGGGCCACCAGATGAAGCAACCGCTTTTGCAGTCTTGTCACTGGCACGGCCTCGTCAAGGCCATCTGCCTGCAAACGAAAAAGGAACCAAACAGCATCAGCCAGCGGGACATGTCCTCGAATATTCGTTCTCGAAGCACCTAGAGCCGTGCAATTCTCCCACCTGCACATGAGAGCATTCGTGAAAACAATGCTGAATTACCAAGAAAGAGCATCGGTCCCCCAAATCCTAAACTAATGGCCTCTTCTCCAAGTCATCTCGGATGCCATCTTCGAAGCGAGACAGAAAGGAAGTCAGGTTCACTTTCCCTTCTTCCAGCTCAAGCACACAGTCTGGCAGCAGGCGAAGCCCCTGTGAGAAGTCGGCGAGGGCCAGCAAACGACGAAGAAGAGAGACACATCTCTGTTGGGTTTGCTGGCTGAGTCCGCGGATTTGGGCGAACATGCCCAAAATCAACAGCAGGCCAGCAATGGAGCAAGCATCGTACTTCAGGCCGGGCCACACGACTGCAGACTGCTCGCCTTTGTAGTTGTCTGGCCTGATGATGTGTCGGTTTGAAAGGTCCCAGCGTCGCTGGTAGTCTTCAAAGAGGCCTGACCGAGCATTCTTTCCCCACCAAGCAAAGTAAGTCGAAGACACATTCAACTGCGACCAGATGTCCTTGACACAGAACAAGTGCTCATACCCATCGGCATGGTGCGATGCATCGGGCCTAACCTGGGGGGGGGGGGGGGGGGGCGGGCAGCAAACTTCGGGGCCAAGGGGCTTACTGGAAATAGTGTGGGCAAATTCCAAAAGTCCAAAAGGCCCTTTGCGACCCGGCCTTGACAAGAGAGAGGGTGTCTGGCTCCACCCGCAGAAACAGCATGCAGAATGCGACAGTGGTTGGCGGTTTGGCTTTGTTTTCGACCACCTTAGACATCTCCTCCTGGAAGAGGCTGCGAGCTGGTTGGCAGGTTTCAGGATCGGGAGGCAAAGCAAAGTCGCACGACATTCGTACTTCCTGCACACATTCACTGACCATGCCAGCATCCACCACTTGGTCTTGTAAACTCGGCAACGACATCTTCTTCTCAGCTGCAAAATGCAAGAGTTTCAGGAACCTCTGAAATGCAGAAGCTGCCTCCATCGCCTTCTCTCTCAAGGAAGCCACCACCCTTTGATGCACCCATTCCCTCGTCGGCGTGCCATCCTGCCAGGTAGACGGATCGACTAACTGTGACTAATCTCTGCGAAGCATGTTCGTCGGGGTGAGAACAGCTTATTCTGCAGGCCTCGTGCAGCATGGCGAGCAGGATATGTATTCCAAGCTGTCGTCGGCGCTTTGCTTGTTCAGTAGTGTCAGCTTAGAAGAGAGGCTGCGAGTCTCTGCATACAGCATGCTGTGGTATCCCAAGCTGTCTGATTCTTGGTCGCCACACTGTGGAAACCAAAATGGAACAAGGTAAGTACTTGACATGAACTCATGGGACTGATCACTGTCACACTCTGACAGTGCACCTGGAAGCAATCAATGCCCCAGCCGAAGAAACACATAGACCAGCAGCGTGGCCGCATGTTTCGCTCATACAAAATGGGAAAACCGAAAACCTTAAGTTCAAACCCTGAAGCACCTCGGGCCAGCAACACAGTCGATCTCGGCCAGCGGCACGAGCCAGCAACCTGAATGCAATGGCCCCGAACAAGATCATGCAGCGTCAGGAATGATGAGGAAGATGCGATGCCCCTAGACATGGCTATGAGCACCAAAGTCTGGAAATGAGGCAGCCACGACCAGGGTGACCGTGGCACAGATCCAGTCTGCCTGAACAGAAAATCTTGTGTCGATGCCCAGGCACCCGAGTGCAAGAGCAAGATATTGTCGCATGGCCCAGAAGAGGCTCAACATGAACTCAATGGAGGATGATTCGGGTGGCTGGTGACATGTTCATTGGCACCCTGGCACCTAACCTAGGACTTAGGAACTCCCTGAATCGCGAACCGGGCAGGGAAACCTAAAACAGTAAGTTGAAACTCTGAAGCACCTCGGACCAAGTCGATCTCGAGGCGACCTGAATGCAAAGGCCCCGGACAATTTCAGGCACCATGAGCAAGAAGCGATGCGACGGTTCCATGAACATCTGTGTGTTCGGAAATGAGGAAGCCACCACAACGGCGACCACGGTGCAGATGCAGTCTGCCTGAACCAAGATCGGAAGGCCCAAAAAAAACAAATATGAGAGTGCTTGCCGAATAATTAGAACTCTTGACCTCGGACCTATCATGCCTCTCCCAGGAGGCTGCAAAGCCGAAAAGCGAATGTGCCTGTGTGGAGTCACTGGAACAGCAGAAAGACCACATGTTCGCACAAAATGCCCATGCATCGACACGATCTTGGTCGCAAGCCTTTCTGAGTCCGATGCGCCGAAGAAACGTGGCCCCAGCAGCCTCAAAGGCACCACTGAACTAGACTTGATTGGCAACAAGTCTAGGGTTGGGGAAGTAACCACGCCTCTAGACTCTAGAGACTACAAACCTACAGAGGCACTCAAACCGAGACCGGCGCCCAAAAAGCGATCTACAACGAAGGTCCGCCTGAAAGGATTCTTGGTTTCTGGCACAGGAAATGAATCCCAGTCTTGTCAGCACGTCGGCCAGGATCAGGCAGCTACTATGGGAAGTTATGTTGCAGCATGCTCACGAACAGACAGTGCCTCGACCCAGCGGAGCATCCACCTCGGCCGAACAGGCTTTCTCAGGTTTTTTTTTTAAATTCAAACCTGAGAAAGCACGTTGGTGCGGAGAAAGCCACATAGTCCGTTTGTGTGGTTTTTGCAAAACACACATTGAGCTGATTCCTCCAGGTGACGTGGGTTTCTCAGGTTTTTCAGGGGTTGACAGTGCCCATCTTTTTTTCAAGCGAGAACGCAGAGTACGTGCAATCTGAGTGAGCACGTTGAAACCTGAGCGAGCACGTTCTCTCGTGAAACCCAGGGTGGCCGGCTGCTCGCCTTTCCGGCAGGAGCAGCAGCACCAAAAGCCCCGGCAATGCTGGCATTGCCCTTCTCTAGAAAGGTCAAAAAAAACACTTGACATCTGCACACATCAAGTGGCCCCTTCAACAGACATCGTTCACTCGGCCGTGAGGGCCAGGAGCTTGCTCGGAGCCTGTGCTTTCAGGCAAAGCCACAACTGATCTGGTGATCATTATCTAGGACAGGCAACGGCACATCAGCAATGAAGGCAAACAATTGGCACACCAATCCGGGCGAGAGTCCTCTGAGGTACTGTCCACACTCATGGCCTGCAAGACCGAACGGTACATGTCCTGGCCAGAAGAAGGAGCAACAACCTGAGGACATCCCCTCGGACGAAACATGGACGGCGACATGGTGCATGAGAGAGCACAGGGTCCTTGTTCGTCAGAACGTCTTTGATGCTTTGGGATGCTTGGAGCTTCTGTGTAAAAGACATTCGGCCAAACACTGCCCGGGCGGAGTCAGTGGTGACGAGAAGCTTCGAGATGCCGCCCGCCTCGATTCCTCTCTCCTCCCAGTCATCCAGGTACTTGAGGAAAGCGACCGGCGTGCAGCAGTCCAGTGCAGTGAGCAAGGCATAGAAGGCCTTCGAATCCTTGTGCGATGCTGTGAGACCCTGCGACAGGAACCCTGCAGCAAACCTGCTCTAGTCATGTCGCTGCTAAGCTAACCTAAGCAAGACTCAACGTCTCGAGGAAAATGCTTGGAGACCACCTCTTCCAACATCTCCTGCAGCTCATCCGAAATGCCGTGGCCGTCACCGGGCTGCACAGCTGCAGCCTTTTTCGGCGTCTCCTGCTGGGCACTGGGGGGGGCTTTTGCTGCCCTCCCAGCAAACTTGTCGCCCTCAAACAAGTCGTCGTCGCCGTCCTCGTCGTTGCCACACAGCTGACAGGTTGCCGAGGAGGAGAGCCCAGAAGCAGAGCCGGCCTTCCTGCCAGAACTGTCCGCCTCATTCTCTTCTCCACCGAGAAGCGAGTCGCCCTCGGAATCCTGCCCCTCATCGACAGTGCTTGCCTCGTCAGGACTCTTCTTGGCGGACGACTTGGCCTTCTTGGCACTGGGTGGCTTCGTTGAAGTTGAAGGGCTGTTCCCGTCCTTCATTTTCCTTTTGGCATTCCGTAGCTCGGTCTCTGCTCGTTCAAGGTCTGACTGGGCCTCCTTCTTCAGGCTCTGCATCAAACCAAGCAGCTCGCTCTTAAACTCCCGGCCTCCTCTCTTGACGGTCTCTCGGATGCGAGGCTCCAACGATCGTCTCAGCTGGACTAGATTCTCGAACTGGAGCACAGTCGTCTTGCGACCTTTCGCAGACAACTTCCTCGGGCGAATTGTGATCTGACACGGGCAAGTGCAAGATGTCAAAAACCATATCACAGCAAGATTCAAAGACAAGCAACTCAAATACCTGCAGCAAGCGATCTTTCCACTTCTTCGTCGCCAGGGAGAGGGACTTGCAGGCAATGTCTGCCATCTTCCTCTCCAGTTCGTCTGCCTTGCTCTTCCTCTTGTTCAGGATCTTGTTGGATTCGTAATCACGACTGCAGAGGCTGCAGTACTCGCCCCCGATCTCGGACAAGTCCATGCTTGTTAAGCTGCTTAGGCCAGGATGGCACTCTGCCAGCAGGAAGCAGATCTGACCCTCGGCTTCATGACCAACAGAGAGAAGAACACATAAAGAAAGCAAGGAGAAGCATCGGCAAGGAGATTTGCACTCAAGCTGCACAGGAGAGGTCCTCGTACTTGACAGCTGCCTTAAGCCTGAGGTCCTTGGCCTTCAACGAAAGTTGGTTCAGCAGCTGTTGGTCCATCTCTTCCGGGCTGAGCGGCTCGCCCGCATCGGCCTCAGAGCCACTGTCGGAGGATGAAGACTTCCTACGTTTCTTCTTGTCCTTCTTGTCTTTGTCCTTCTTGCCCAGGATGCTGCGAGCCATTTTTTCCTGCCGGCGAAAGCACATAAGAGCCGACCCAACCAGGGACTGGATTTACAAGTATTGCCACTGAACTTCTGGGAGGCAAAATACTCTTAACCGAAAAACCCCACAGCGAGGCTCAGGCCTCAATATTTGCAAGCAGATGATGATACTGCTACAATCGAAAAAATACCAAAACCACCACCAACACACACTGAAGATAGGTTCAAGACCGGAAGAAAGCCCGAATGCGTTTTTCGGGCCCTGGAAAATGCATTCAGTTGTCCTTGCAGCCTGAATGGTGCCTGAGCCTGATCCTTGGGTTTTTCATAGCTACAGAAAGCTGAATGCGTTTTTCAGGGGTTCAAAAAAGCATTCGCACCTTGGCCTTCCCAGTTCCGAACAAGGGCAGACACATGGTCCGTTTAGAAGGGGCCAGCAATCCAAATGCGTTATTCGGGCCTGCAAAAATGCATTTGGGCATGTTCCTCTTCATTACGGGCTGCTTCTGGGAGCCCTGAGAGATAAAGATTTTTCATCTCTGAAGGATTCTATTAGCTCTTCCTATTAATGGTTTTTCCTATTCAAATCAAAGAAAAAGTCGTTGATCGGTAATCTAATGAGTGCCCGAACGGGCTCGGAGAAGAAACCAATGCCAAATGCATTGTTCGGGGGCCCAAAAATGCATTTGGCCTGCTTGGCCATAGGTCTTGAGTTACAGATTATGCAAAATCACCAATCTACTTTATAATTTTTGTTTTGGTTTTGCTGGATTTGCTTATAGGTACGTACACACGATAGGCTCAAGACCGGAAGAAAGCCCGAATGCGTTTTTCGGGCCCTGGAAAATGCATTCAGTTGTCCTTGCAGCCTGAATGGTGCCTGAGCCTGATCCTTGGGTTTTTCATAGCTACAGAAAGCTGAATGCGTTTTTCAGGGGTTCAAAAAAGCATTCGCACCTTGGCCTTCCCAGTTCCGAACAAGGGCAGACACATGGTCCGTTTAGAAGGGGCCAGCAATCCAAATGCGTTATTCGGGCCTGCAGAAATGCATTTGGGCATGTTCCTCTTCATTCCGGGCTGCTTCTGGGAGCCCTGAGAGATAAAGATTTTTCATCTCTGAAGGATTCTATTAGCTCTTCCTATTAATGGTTTTTCCTATTCAAATCAAAGAAAAAGTCGTTGATCGGTAATCTAATGAGT